CCATAAATCGAAATTGTAAATGAAATTTGTGAATATTTCAACTTAAAGTGCAAATATCTCGAAAACTATAAGTTTCCGGCGGCAAATATAAAGTCCAAATAAATATTAAATTGTAATTCATTTTGTGAAATGTGAGTGTGATTTCAATAAAATGCAGTAAAAACAATTAATTGAATAATTATTTAAAACGATGCAATAATATTCTCATAAATCAGTAGTATTATCATTTCATAAAATAACATAGAATAGAGAATAGAAACTTAATCGAGGTTTGCACTGTACCTAAGGTCTATTTGCTCTCTCCTCCATCACATATATAAGGTGTTGTGATCCATTATTACATAAGTAAGCCAAGGGTCTTGGCCTGCGTCTACAAATTGCTGTACAATCTAAAATCAGGTGATCAGGGTTTCGGTTCCATGTCGCAAAACCGGCAGTTTGTACAAGAAGCCATTTCATGCTGGACAGGTGTTTTGGAGTCGCAGTGCCTTGCTAGGTTCAATTTCCAGCCTTGCATTCTATTGGTTGCTGCCAGTAACTTTCTCTTTCAGATCAGGTGTACACGGTTGCATCCTGGTAGGCTGTGCAGCCTTCCTATGCACTCCTTCACTAATAGCGATTTAAACTCATAGGCTGAGTTCGCTTTTAGTGTCACTTGACTATCGCTATGTATAGCGATACGCTGGTTGCGTTGGAGATTTATTTGTGCACACTGACTTTTAGAAAAGTCTTCTGCTTGAAAATTGCGCCGTCTCTTGGAAGAAGAGCCAGTGGGGTATCTGGTCTGTTAGCGTGCTGATTTGCATTTAGGTGTTTGATTTTCAGCGCCTTCGATCTAATATCGTTTTCTATAATCTCTTCCATCCCTTTTAGTATGAAGAAAGTGAGACTAATAGGCCTGAAGGATTTAGCCTATGAAGAGTCTTTCTTTCGCAAGGCTATCTCTTATCTGTCCAACACCGTATGGCAATAGAGCTTGTTCTCCTTGTTGCAGAAGTGCTGGGAAGATGCGATCCGCCCCTGGTGACTTATATTTTCGTGAAAGAAGTCGTGCCCACTGGATTGAGTCTGCATTTTCTGGAGTTAATAAATAAATCCTTGCAGCTGTCCAATCGAACAGTCTCCGGAAGTTCGCAAGCAAAATGCCATTATTTCAACTTAAAATGCAAATATCTCGATGTCTGATAATTCATATCTGATAATTTCACAAATGGATCATGATGCTGATTTACTATATTTTACGCCATATGTATTCATATATCAAATTTTCAACATCTTCACTGTTATTATAATTATCTTAATAAAATTTGAAGTTTATAGAGAGTGATATATTCTCTTAATATTGCTTTTTTTGTAAGATTTTTTTTGCACTGGCGGCCTTCGGCCGCGCTTCAAAAAATAAGTGCATAATATAAAGAAAGATAACCATAAATCGAGAAATTGTAAAATGAAATTTGTGAATATTTCAACTTAAAATGCAAAATTCGAGATCTGGAATCTCCTCTATCAACATACCCTCTTAACCTGAAATCGTGGGACTAAACTAAAGTTTTCCGCTAATCGAATTAAAAGTATGAACTAATTTTTAATTACAAAACTTTTATATTATAGTAGTAGCAGATCAAACAATCAATCATGATTAATTATTTAAAATAAATTATAATAAAATTAAAGTTATTAAGACAATAATTCAATTCCGAGTAAAACGTGCAAACGTTGCAAAAAATAGAATTGGCTACAATCGTCAATTGATTTCCACGTGACTAGAGCCTAAACGAGGTCGAAAGGAAATTTCCTTTAGTGACTCTAGTGACTCATGCAAATTAAAAACTAAATATTTAAGAGACACAACAGAGTTACCAGTATGAAGTAAAAATATTATGAACTTAATTTTCCATTTTAATAAATATTTTATGGCTTAAACGTGTGTTTTATTGCATCTGATAATTTCACAAATGGATCATGATGCTGATTTACTATATTTTTACGCCATATGTATTCATATATCAAATTTTCAACATCTTCACTGTTATTATAATTATCCTTAATAAAAATTGAAGCTTATAGAGAGTGATATATTCTCTTTAACATTGCTTTTTTTTGTAAAGATTTTTTATTTGCACTGGAGGCCTTCGGCCGCGCTTCAAAAAAATAAGTGCATAATATAAAAGAAAAGATAACCATAGATCGAGAAATTGTAAAATGAAATTTGTGAATATTTCAACTTAAAATGCAAATATCTCGATGTCTGATAATTCATATCTGATAATTTCACAAATGGATCATGATGCTGATTTACTATATTTTTACGCCATATGTATTCATATATCAAATATTCAACATCTTCACTGTTATTATAATTATCCTTAATAAAAATTGAAGTTTATAGAGAGTGATATATTCTCTTTAACATTGCTTTTTTGTAAAGATTTTTATTTGCACTGGCGGCCTTCGGCCGCGCTTCAAAAAATAAGTGCATAATATAAAAGAAAAGATAACCATAAATCGAGAAATTGTAAAATGAAATTTGTGAATTTCAACTTAAAATGCAAATATCTCGAAAGCTATAAGTTTCCGGCGGCTAAACTAAAGTTTTCCCGCTAATCGAATTAAAAGTATGAACTAATTTTGAATTACAAAACTTTTTATATTATAGTAGTAGCAGATCAAACAATCAATCATGATTAATTATTTTAAAATAAAAATATAATAAAATTAAAGTTATTAAGACAATAATTCAATTCCGAGTAAAACGTGCAAACGTTGCAAAATTAGAATTGGCTACAATCGTCAATTGGATTTCCACGTGGACTAGCGCCTAAACGAGGTCGAAAGGAAATTTCCTTTAGTGACTCTAGTGACTCATGCAAATTAAAAAAAAAACTAAATATTTAAGAGACACAACAGAGTTACCAGTATGAAGTAAAAATATTATGAACTTAATTTTCCATTTTAATAAATATTTTATGGCTTAAACGTGTGTTTTATTGC